TATCCTCCAAGTACATTCATGCCTACAAACAGCAGTGATCCTAGCACTCTCATTTCTGATGTACCTTATATCATAACCATGCACCACATTAAACTCCCTCAAATACTCTCTGAAAACTTAGGGACTAGGAAATTTCATTCCAACTACAAGTTTGGAATCCTTCGTCATCCCTTCTTTGTATTCTGGGTATCCAACATCATCTGCCTCATTTGATGACCCTTTCAGACTAATCAATTCATCATCATCATCAAGATCTGAATACCAACCAACACCATCTGGTAGATTGACTTTAGGTGGTGGTCCTTCAGTTCTTCTGTGTGAGGTTTCATAAAAAATTTCATCATTTGGACCCTTTAGGTCTTCATACAACCAACTTTGGTCATCACTTTCCTCTACACTATCCTCAGAAGTTTCAGTATCACTATATTTTTTTATTAACTATATAGTCCAAGTCCCCAGAACCATCACTATCAGTTTTCTCTTCATCAGCCAAAAATTCAGTCTCACTTTGTACACTGTCACTCTCATCAGCCCATTACCTTCTACAGACTCAGTCTCAGTAGTATGCTGCAACCCCTCCTCATGTTATGTATCATTACCCTCATGCTTTCTTCTTATTTGGCTCTCCCTAGCCTAATTCTGACTTGATTTCTCACTACCCTTACATTCCTTACCCACATCCTCACCCTCAACTACCTCTGCACTATCATCTGAGTCATTCCCAATGTCATCAACTATGATGTCAATATCAGACAAGTTTATATCAATAATGTTTGTGTCACCACCATATATGGCATTACCACCCTGTTCTATGTCACCACAACCTATGGCATTACCACCCTATTTTGTGTCACCACCACCTATGGCATTACCACCATGTTCTGCACGATTAGGATCTGACAACAACTCATCATTGGATGACAAAACCATAATAGGATCTATACCCTTCTCTACAAAAAACTATTACATAATCCAAACCCTTATAAGCCTCAAGCATTTTCATCACATCAGCATCACTGTAAATTGTTTTCAACCCAACATCTAAACTATAACCAAGCCATGTATAGTACATATCTACGTTTGCTCATTTTCTACCAACCAGGTCATAATAAAGGTCTCTTAATTCAAATATAGACATTTTGTCAGGGTTACTGTTAATTATTTCATTCACTCTATCACCCTCATAAACAACACATGAATGAAAGACAAAATGGCCCCATGGTGCATTTGAACAGTTATGAATTTGTCTGACATTTTCAACATTCACTCCTAAAGTAGAAAAAACTTTCATCAATACATTTTGGGATCACAACCCACAACCCTAAACCCTAAACAAACATATAGTCATGCATGTAACCAACATAAACTAAAATAATAAATAATCCCTAGTCCTCAAACAGATCACACAAAATAGAAATAGAATATAAAAACATAAAGTCATACAATACAAATGACTACAATATACGACAAGCATAAAGTAATAGAATTAAAAAACCTATTCAGGCATAAAGTTAAAAGTTAATTGAAGAAGGAAACAAACAAAGTAATACACTGACGATTAGGGATAGACTTTACCTTTTCGGTGCATACTCTACACAAAATACAATGACAACAAACAAACAAAATAATACACTGACATCATTCACTACAAATAAACAAACAAACATAAGGGACCACAGTATATGAACATCTTCATATATACAAAGCCACCATAGCAACATGATATGAACAACTGCATCGAACACAGTATCCATGACAAAAAGTTAACCACTAATGGTACGAAAAAGGGAAGCACACAAACCCTAATATACAAAACATACGGGACCACAGTATATAGCAACAAAAAGTGCATCAACTAACATTTTATATATATATATATCAGCAAATTGAACCGATTGAAATACAAAATAAAAAGCAAGATCGAAAAAATACCTTACAACTTATTCTTCGTGAACTTTTAGGCTTCGTTTGCTTCGTAAATCTCCAAATTAGTGACAATCGAACAATCGAAGCCCTACTTTATCAAATCTATACACTATTTCGTTTGATTGAAACCCTAATTTGTTCAATCGAACAATCTTAATTTGTTGAATCATACAACCTAGTTCTCTTCACTTTCATTTTCTCAGATGCACGACTGTTGGAAGTAAAAATGGTAAGTAATATTAGATATATATATACAAGGACAAATTGGTCTTTTTATGTCTGCCATTAACGGTGTTAACTGTGCACATTACTCCATCAATCATAGGGGGCTATGTGGTGATATTTGAAAGTCAGGGGTAATCCGTTTATGGTCTAAACTGTAGGGGGTAAAATGAAGTTTGCTCTAACAATTATATTTAAAAAAAAAAATTAAAATTAAATTTATGTATATTTTTTAAATTTATGATAAATTTCATTTTTTTAATAAATGACATCAACACTAAGCCTAATCAAATGAATAGTTGAAATTATTCTATATGGACCCACCAAACTCAGCAACTTGAATGTCTAAACAACGAGAACGCATTTCTTACAAAAAAAACAATATATATATACATATATATATTATACAATTAAAATTTGTTTTAAATATAATCTACATCACCATAAATTTGAATCACAAATTTTTGTGTTTCATTTGTATCCATTTACCACTATGCAGATTCATATCCGTTTACATGTGGTTCAAAACAATGTATAATCCGTACTAACCTTAATTGACCCGGGATGGCAGTGCAGGCTGAAATGGCCCAGCTGCCAATTTGTAGAGAGTGTTACGGGCTCGGGCCGAGCTTGAGCTAGTCCAGTAGAAACTGGGTCTGGATAGGGCTGATTGGGCCATGTCAGCCCTTTTACATGGCGAGTTTAAATTAAAACCCCAGCTGAGAAACTGCGCAAAACATTGGCAATGTTAGGTCCATAGTATGGGGCCCACCACCTCTGGTGAAGTGGAAAGTTTCGGCCCACTTTTCAGTTATGTGTTTCTTACGTTAGTTGGGTGATGCATTGTTTGCTGCTGGCTAAATCCACAGGCCTCAATTTGCAATATACATAATAAAATAGTTGGGGTGGTAAATGAACTGAACAAGTCGAATAATTTATTTTTTAAGTTTGATCTGATAACTTTAATTAGTTTAAAATTGGTCCAAACTTGATTCATTAAATTTTTGAATTGATCTTAAACGAATTTTTATAAAGTTGAATTCGAGTAATTTAATATTTTATATAATCTTAAACTTATTGAATCTAGCCAAACGAATAATTGACTATTTAAATTTGGTTTAAAAATCTTAACGAGCTCGAAAATGTGTTCAAACTTGACTGTTTATTTAACAAACCGAGCTTGAATGAATTTTCAAGAATCCGAATACAAGTCGAGCTTGAATTGTATGGTTTGTTTATAACTCTTAATAATAGGTGGGCTTCTCTCATGTTTATGAGGACTCGTGAGACCGATCACGAGTTTCATTTTTCTTTATCTGAATCATTTATTTTATGAGACATGTATATTATTTATAAAAAAAAAATTAAATTTATTTAATAATTAATTTTTATTTTATTTTATTAAGTTTGTTTAAATTGTCAGTATTTATAATTATTATTTTACTTAAGTGGGAAACCAGAGTCTATGAAAGGAATATTGTGGGCTTGCAATGGAGTCGAAATAAGTTATCAATTTAAGGAGGCTGCTCATCCAAATGTTCAAGCAAACAAACGCTTCAAAGGATTAATTTACTTCTTTGGATGACAAAAGACACGTGTTGCTATGTATAAAAAGTTTACATGTCAATATATAAAATCATTTTTATTTTTTAGTGGAATTCATAGTAAAAAATGGGCCATACTTTAAAAGTTAATTTATCCTAATAATTATTAAGCTTGTAACTATGAAATGAATGCCTTTCTCTTTAACTTTTTTGTTAAAAAATAATTTTATCAACAATTAGAAATAGTTACTTCCCTGTGAAAAACATAGTAAATCCATTCAATAAAATGATATACTTCTTCTTTATTTATCCAATAAATATGTGTATTTTCCAAATCTAACATTACAATAACATAGAATTATCAATAAAAGTTCTATATTACAGTAACATACTAGCGAAATTAGATATATTAAAATTTTGGTAGTTATCCATAGTTATTATTTGGAATTTGGTTAATAAATGTAACATGAATCAATAAAACATTACATGGTTTTACATTATTTAACTATATAAAGCAATAATAATTCCACCAATAAAAAAAAAAAATTAGAAAAACAAATAATACCACCAGACAAATAATACTTTATGGCTATGTTTGTTTGGGCGGACTGGATTAACATTCCCATGACTAATAGTCCCAGGACTACGAATTCGTTGGATTATATATTCTATCTTAACTAATAGTCAAGTTTAAAATAATTAGTCCCTACATCAATTGTTTAACCAAACATCGGATTAATAATTTTATTGGACTATTAGTCCAATCCCAAGCTCATGTCCACCCAAACAAACATGGCCTATATTGACACTAGATAAATCACATAAATCTCTCTCTATCTATATTCATATAATCATTTCTATTGGCATTAGTTATAAAATATTTTTGTAATAACACTGAAGTGTGTGTGATTCAAGTGATTTGTGAATGCATTGTTGGTGAAAATAAGAATAAAGGAATAGTACCATACAAATCTTATAAACTTTTTTTAGTCAAAATAATTACTATAAAAATTATGAATATGTATAATTTTTTTAATGGATGGCTGAAATAAATGAAAAAAATGTATTCCAAATAATTTTTAAAATAAAATATAAATTTTAAATTTAAACTCACAATAAATATTTGTTAGGTCAACAACTTTCATTTTCAAATAAGTAACGACAAAGAATTCAAAAGTTTTATCAAATATTTTATACAAATAGATATAGGTCTCATATAAATCCCACATTACGTAACGTTTTATAAAATTTTTGATAAAATTTTTAAAATCGATAACATTTTTGTTTTCAAATTGATATTTTAGAGATATATCAAAGCGCGTAAGCTGAAATTTTCGATCTATATGTATATATGTACTCATCTTTCACTCCGACTTCAAAAGCTTATCCGTCACCATCTCTCCTTCACGCTACAAAAGGCTCCATTTCAATTCAACTTTAAAGCTTTTTCATATTTCACACCTCAAAACTCTCTCTCTCTCTCTCCGAGTAAATAAATCATTCAACACAACCAATGAAGGCATGTAATACTCTTTCTCTCCCATCATTTGCTTGTTTTCTCTCTCTGGTCCTAAATCTCCATTAATTTTACTTGCAGGTAATCAAATTCATGCTCAATCTCTGCATTGCAACTCTGTTCATCGCAACAGGTTTCTCTTCAGCTCTCAAGGTTCTCCTCCTCAATAATCACTCTCCTTCCATCAAGTATCAGCAAAAACAAATTAAAACTTCTCTAGATTATCTCTAGTCTCAATTAAAATTACTGTGTAACAGGAGGGACAAACATGCGTCGCAGACCGAAACTGTGATGCAGGCCTGCATTGCGAAACCTGCGTTGCCAATGGAAACTTTCGGCCGAGATGTACTCGAATCCAACCATTGATTCCAACTTCAAAGGTCCAATACAAACCTAATATATATATATATATATATATGTGTGTGTGTGTCTGTGTGTGTGTGTAGATATGTGTGTGTTTAATTTTGATTTGGTGTTGGATTAGGTGAAGGGATTGCCGTTTAATCGGTATTCGTGGCTAACGACGCACAATGCGTTCGCTCGATTAGGAGAGAGGTCCGAAACGGGGGCTGTGATTTTGTCTCCGAAGAACCAACAGGACACCATTACCGATCAGCTCAATGTAAGTCTTCACTCTCTCTCTCTTCGCCGATAAGTTAGGGTTTCGAGGAGGGTAACATTTTTGTTCTGTTGTTGTTTTCTTGGTGATCATAAATCAATGTATTTTCTGGAGTGTGGGACTTCCTTAGAAAAAAAGAAAAAGAAAAAGAAAAAGAAAAAGGTAAAATACAAATATATCCTTAAGATTTGATTAAAATACGAATTATTTCTGTAAATTACATTCCACCTGAGGTTTTCAATTTCATAATAGATCGCCTCTATTATTAATAAATCATCATATCAATTAACTGTTTTTAATGATATTAGAAATATGTTTCAATTAATAATTTAGGTAATTTTATTATTGTATAGGAGAATAATTATGAATTTTACTTTTTTAATTAATTATGTTAAATAAAATTTTTTTTAACAAAGGACTGTTTGTAATTTTTCAAATCACAAGGGACGATCTATACTTTAAGCAAACTTCATTATATTTGTAATTTATCCAAAAAAAAAATTTGCGCAAGTAACAATTCATTGTATATTCTAGAAGGGTTAATCATACTTTTAACCCTTGTATTTTTACTCAAATTTTAATTTAATTTTATAATCAAATTTTACTTTAGTCTTATAGTTTTAAATTGAACAATTATTGTACTTTAAATTCTGTTTCAATTTGGTCATTCTATTCAAATTTGTATTAATTTTTTTTTATGCATACACTTTAGGAGACTGATAAATATGTCAAAATCGTTAACTTTAAACTTGAACAGAATAGTCAAACTAAATTATTTAACTTTAAAATAAAATAAAAAAAAATAATGAGTGAAATCAGCATATTGATTTTATTTTTTTTCCTAATTAAAATTTCAGTTGAACTTTTTGACCGTTGTAAAATTACATTTTTGTGTGTGCGTGTGATAATTGATCTATTTTTTATCACCTCAGGTGATAATTGATAAATTGTTGACTACCTCACAAGTTGCAAATTTTATTGATTATTTTTATTTTCATGCAAATACTATAACCCGACAATGAAGCTCAAATATATGATCTCCTATCATGTTAAATTGTTGATTAATATCTCATATAAAAGCCTAGGCTATTAGAAAGAAAGAGGAGTAACTATGTTCAATAGTAGCCGATAAAAATAAAAATAAAAAACTATGTTCAATAATAATGATTTTTTATTCAAGAGAACTTCACTAAGTACAAACTTACATATAATCATTATCAGTAAGTCAAGTTGAAATGTATAAAAGCTTGGTATATGCACATAAGTTACAAGCATCAAATATATTCAGCAAGCCTTCACTGTCTTCAATCCATTTTTTTTTTTAAAGATGCTCATGCTGCATATTCCATTTTAGAAATCTATGAAACTCCTAGTCTGTGCTAAAGAGAATAAGTGAACATGTATTTTGAATGGACCAATTGAATACTAAATTTCTTATTCATTGGTATTAATTGGACCGCCAGGTTCCTCTGAACTGGAATGGATTCCAATCCAAACAGTTAGTTAAAATAAAACAATTTTTTTTTCGTAGGTTCGATCTTTAAAACTTTGATTAATGTCCTTGGACAGATAGGAATGAATGGTTGTGTTATTGACTAGTGTTTTGTTTATAGCCATCTGCGATTGTCCTATATTATAAGTATGGTATTGAAACTACTCGAATAGCAATTTTCATAGTTTTACTTGACTTTTTGTTTTGGTTATACTGCTATATGATTGCCAATTAAATTGTTCGAATCGTTAATAAACCACTTTGACATATGAATTTGAAAGTAGTCTATTCCTTATAGAAATAAATAAAATAAAATAAAAAGTAAAGAAAAAAAAGAAAAGAAAAAAGCAAGTTCAATCCATGGCTTGTAGCATCTAATTCACAACCACATTAAAAAAGTTAAAATAAATAAATAAAGATGGGTGCTTTAACTCATTGCTTGTACAAGCTGCTTTTGGTAGATCAATGAACCATACATTGGCTTGGTTATGTTTTCCTATTTATTTGGTGGTCCAGTATTCTTTGCAACTCATTTCCTCATTGAAAATCAAAGATAATGAATTCTACATGTTGGAGTTGGTTGAAAGAAAGCTGGCTCCATGCTGCTCTGTGCCGAAAGAGAGTTTGGTTCTGGAGTGGTATGATTAAATATTGGGTTTTCTTTCCTTTGACATGTAGTTTTTAATTAACAAGACAACCTGACTTCTAAAGTATATCCAACATGCTTGGTTTATAATATAAGAAATATCTTTCCCATGACTTGTGGAGGGCCCCCTGTTGTTGAGGCTGTGGACCACCATCATGAAAAATTCAACTGGAAAGTACAGTAAAATAAATTAATCAAAGTCTCATGCGTTGCAATATTTAATGGTGTGAAACCATCAAGTTCCAAGAGAGCTACTTGGGCGTAAATGTAATACCTGCTGACAAGAAAGTATGATGTCTGCCTTGCAACCATTGAGTAAAAAATCGCTAAATAATTATTTAGCAACATGGTCACTTTATTAGGTGGATTTCTTTTCGGATGGGCCATAATTAGGAAAGGTCTACCATTTTATTCTTCATGGTGAAGTATAGGCATATTATCACAATGGGCATTGTTTTGCATTTCAATAATTATTCTATAATTTCTATTTTGTTAGGAGACTAACTGCTTGTATAAGATAAAGTTTGAATTAATTAGCGAAGCTCATTCATTATTTATGGCACAACATTTTAACGATCTTAAAATGATCCTCTTGCAGAATGGTGTTAGAGGGTTGATGCTTGATATGTATGACTTCGAAAATGATATCTGGCTATGTCACTCCTATGGCGGCAACTGCTACAACTACACAGCTTTTGTATGTATTTTAACTTTTTCATAAATGGAATGGAATTGACATTACTTTATTTAGTGCTTATAGCATTTAAAATGGGTTTATGTTGGTCATTTCAGAATTTTTAAAAATTATTTATTTATGTTCCTAATTATAAATAAGATAAAGCAAAGCACCCCTCACAGACCTTTCGGTTTCTTTTCCCACATTTGTAGTGAATATGTCTACTTCAATGTTATTAATTAATGGTCATGAAGCAGCTGAAGTCAACTGTAGCACCAAAACTCAGTTGAATATTCTCTGTTTTACAGAAACATTTGGATGGAAATTAAAATTGACTACTTCATGTTATCTCCTTTCATATGTTTGGATTTGGAACATGATTACTTCATGTGGTTAACTACTGATATTTTATATATAACTAACTATCCAAAATCTAATTCATCAGCAACCTGCCATTAACGTTTTGAAAGAGATTCAAGCGTTTCTGGAAGCAAACCCTTCTGAAATCGTCACCATAATGATCGAAGACTATGTTGCATCTCCAAAGGGCCTAACAAAGGTGTTTGATGCTGCTGGCCTAAGGAAATTCTGGTTTCCAGTATCCCGGATGCCAAAAAATGGTGAAAATTGGCCAACAGTTGATGATATGGTGCGGCAAAATCAGCGTTTAGTAGTTTTTACTTCAAAATCTTCTAAGGAGGCTTCTGAAGGGATTGCATATGAATGGAGGTACCTGGTAGAAAACCAATGTGAGTTTTACTTAATATTCCTTCTGAAATTTAAGTGCATACTGAAACAACAAAAGTAAAAACATGAATGAACCAGAGGCATTTTTGATGTGGTTTGAAATTGCAGATGGTAATGGTGGGATGAAAGCTGGTTCTTGTCCAAACCGTGCAGAATCACCTTCTATGAACACAAAAACGAGGTCTCTAGTCCTAATGAACTATTTTCCCGATGCTCCAGAAGTAACCCAAGCTTGCAAGCATAATTCAGCTCCATTAATTAGCATGATGAACACTTGCTATGAAGCAGCTGGTAAACGATGGCCCAATTTCATTGCAGTTGATTACTACAAGGTATAGTTAGTTTTGTAAATTCATCTGCAACATAAACCATGGTATATTTGAAATAGTACGGGACGTGTGAGTAGAAATGATGTCTCACTTCAAGTAAATGTTGCAGAGAAGTGACGGAGGAGGAGCACCTGAAGCTGTAGATGTCGCCAGTGGGCATCTAGTTTGTGGGTGCAACAATATTTCCTTTTGCAAGGTTTGACATCTTGAATATCATGATTTCAAAAAAAAACTTTGCTCGTCATCAGGGACGGATCCAGGATTATGTCTTTGGGGGGCTATTCTATAGTTTAAAAAATTAGGAGGGCTACTCCATATAATTTTAAAATTATCTACAAAAAATTTGAGAGTGTGAACTCTTATAATTTTATGTTATTTTAAAATTTCTACTATAATATATGATATTTTCCAAATTTTTTGGGGTGCAGCCACCCCTAGCCCCCTCTAGATCCATCATTGCTTGTCATGAAATGATAATTTTTTTGCGTAATTTTTTAGTATAAAGACAAATCAAGAGAAATATTTTATGCCTGATTGATATCTGAGTTTTAAACATTGCTTATTTATTTAAGTACCGTGTGTAGGAAAATGTTACTTTCGGAACATGTGACGCACCGGAGGCTGCTGTTGCTCCCTCGGCAACAGGACAGATATTCAGCTCTGCTGGTTCGGATGGCAGACCAGTTCAGCTACAGTGGTTGTTTGGGACGGTATTGTTCGCTATCATAACATGGAACTTATAACCTAATTTAATTATGTTTTCACTTTATCTTCATTAGGAACGCATCAGAAAAGACATACAACTAACGGAATATGCTCATTTGGATTTGTTTATAATGGGTGTCATGTTCATTGTTTATTGTTTTTTGTTTTTTTAAATTAGTTATTTTTATTTATTGTGGCAATAAATAAACATAGAGGGCATTTTTTAAATTCCCAATGTTTGTTTATTTGGATTATTAGGGGAAGGTTCAAGTGTGGTGGGTTATTGCCATTGGGGACAATATGCTGGAATTGGTTTTAGGTGGATGTCATGTGGTTGCAGTAATAATAAAAAAAATTTAAAACACAAAAAACAAAACAAAAGTAAATTTGGTCCGTAAATCTTGTCATTTTGCATAAGTGTTTTTGTTTTTATTGGCCCAATTATTAAATGGGCCCATAATTGGAGGTCTTTCTCCAAATAATTTTATGGGATGGGTTAGCCCATTAGTCTTGTAGTTGGGGCCTTAAAAGGGTCCTCATGAGTTTGGGCTTTAATCGGATGGGCCGGTTTGGGGAAAAGGACATATTACTGACCTGAATAATCAAAGCTATGTTAATGGTCAAAACTCACCTTACTAACTTGAGGTTGCAATTCGAACTCAAGGACATTTGCGTTGTTTAAATTATGTTAAATGTTAAGTCTCTACTCATTCTACTACTCCTAAATCACAATCTATTTATTTATTATAAATTAAAAGCTTTTTGAAGGATATCTTTTTTATTTTTTATTTTTAAAAATGGAATTATGAAACCAAAATCTCGTTTTTTTTTCCTTACCTCAAAATAAAGCCCATTCAAAACCAGCAGCGTGCTTGGGCCTAGCCCGACTGTGTAGCAAGGAGATATCATAATTCACATTAACTTGACAAATGGGCAACAGTTGGGCCTGACTGTGTGCAAGACCATATAGTACTGAACCAGCCCAAACCCATCTAAGGCTTCAAAAGAATGCAATTTGAACAATTGCTATGATTTTGCAGATAAATAATTAAATTGTATAAAATAATTTGTATCATACATATCAGATAGTGGGGCTGTTATTGGAGAGATTGTTCCACTTGCATTGCTCCACATGTATTTTGTGATTGGTTTTGTATGTAGGATTGTTGGAACACGGTAAATTATAACCACCCAATTTAGTGGTTTAGAGAGTTGCGTTATTAGAGTCTAAAGCGCTTAAACTAAATGCAATTAAATTACAGGAGTGTTTTGGGAAGATAGTAAAAAGTTATTTTTTGGTTTTTTATCAAGCTTTTTTGCTTTTTTTGGAAAGTAATTTGAGAAGTTGATAAAAAGTTGATTTTTTGCTTTTTTGAATAATATTTGTTTATGGTATCACAGTGCATTAAAATGACCAAAACGCTTCCACCAAACCTAGGAAATTTACTTTTTGATCCATGTGGTTGTTTGAACAATTACGTAATTTCATGGAGGGCGGTTATGTAATTTCACCACTTGTGTTTTTATCACTTCCCAAATCAGTCTGTTTGCGTTTTTATGCTGCTAGTGGATTTTTTTGCTGCTGCAAAATGTAGCTTCTTACTCTCTTCCCAAATGGCTACATAGTAAAATATGTTACAATTGAGGTTAGTAGCGGAGTTTGAATTTTGGTTCAAGGGAGAATTTGAAGCCATGGCGAGACCTATCACAATTCAATCAAACCTGCTTTTCATTTGGTAGTGAGACCACTAAAAGATCATCTTGATGTCAATGTCATATGTTAGAATTATGATCAAGTTAACTGATAAAAAAAAATATAAAATTTTTATTTTATTGTATTTTATTTTATTTTATTGATCATCATAATTTAAAATGTGATATCACATGCCTCCATAAAATATAAGAAGAAATTATAGCAAGATACAAAAAGAAAGTGAAAAAGAAAAAAAGAGAAAGAGATAGAGATGAGTGGAGAAAGAAATAAGAGATAAATAATATAGAATTTTTAAGAAGAGATTTAATAAAATTAAGTATTTAAAGTGACAAAATACATGATTTCATTGAAAATAGTAAGGAAAAGAAAAGAGCATGTATAATAAAAAATGTTAGGTATCTTAATATTTTAAAGGACTAAATTGAAACTATAATTATTAGAAAATTCAAGAGTGTCACGTGCCCCTCTCATTTTAACATGGCTCTACCACTGATTGAGATGAATGTGCACGGCTCAAGAAAATATAATTTCATCAATTTAGTAATTCGAGATTAATTAAGCATTAAACTTGCGGCAAGTTGAACTCAAAATTTCATCAATTTAGCAATTCGAGGTTAATTAAGCATTAAACCCGCGGCAAGCTGAAATCAAATCCTTCTGATGAAGCACTCGAACCGAAACAAACTGCTCGCTTAATTAAACTAATAATTATTGTACTAAGAAAATCAAATGTCACAGCTTGTAGGTAGATAGGGGGGAATCCAGCAGAAGCATATTGTCTTGTGGTTAGTGATTACATAAAATAATACAACACATGATGCAAAGGCATATTCCTAAGCATTTTTATTAACCCATTATTTACAGACAATTAATTAATTAAATAATTTGTATGTGAATTTTATTGGAAGCTCCATACATAGTACAAGTGCTCCACTAAACCTAGACACAACAGCCTCGTATCTTTGCCTTAGTTTAATGTCTGAACATGGGGAACTTTAACAGTCATTGTATAACATTTAAAACTTATAAATTAATTTTGGAACTCAAAAAAAATTCTATTCCACTTGTAGTGTCTTATTTAGATAATTTAATAAACTAAATTAGTTTAGTTAGTTACTTCTGTACACTCTTATTGAAATTAATTGAAAAGTCAAACGATTGATTTTTTTTTTAAAAAAAGAATATAGATATATATAGTTTGATGAATAACATTTGAGAATATCAGTAAATAGATGGATTATGGGTTGGAGTCTTGAAAGATTAAGGATTGGATATTGGATGTTTATTTGAATTCACATCCTCATTGGACCCTACAAAACATACCCCTAGATGCATCGGATAGCCATTTCTAAGGGTTTTTCAACGATCAAGTTAGTAGAGAGAACGAAATAAAAGATAATAAAAATTAGGATTTAAGGAATGAATTTTTTAATAATGATTCTCATATATATAACGATATATCTTCTATAATGTCTTTCTCTAAGAATAATTCTATTAAATTTCACCCAATAAGAGTCCACTGAGGGGGACACTAATCTCGTGCACAATTCATAATAACAATGGCTATTAGATATGTCTTGCAGGGGGTTGTAGGTGGGAGACCCCCTTTAGACCTTGCCACCACATGCCAATCCCAAGAGCCTTAGAGCCAACTTGGAGGTTAGTTGGATAAAACACGCAGATTAGTGATTAGATAAGCTTATGCCCGATCTCATGATCAACATGTTTACTGAACTGTCCGATTTTAAGATTAGTAAAATCTTTATGCTGTCTGACATAGAGATCGGTGGAGTCATTGATAATCATTTATAATGAGACTAAAGAATTGACTTAATAGATGAGACAACCGTGATGCAAAAGACTTAGATATATTCGATATTGTTCTCAATTTTTTTAAAATATATTTTCTAGAAAGCACATTTGCATCAATTCTTGCTTAAAAGTCAATTTACTTATTCCATTGTGATAGGGATTTAATAGATATTGGTTGTGTTTATTGGGGCATGTTTGTGGCCCTAATCTTGACTTTTGAAATGGGAATTTGAAACATTGATGATAATGGATGCCTAGTCACAAAGCTTACAACAATTAGAAGATTTGAATGACATCATAGTTAGGTTATGGCATCCATGGGTTTGACTGCATGGATTACTAAGCAAAGCGAATCCAACTTATGATCTATGCAAACATCATTGTCTTGTCATAATAAACCTTCCACTCTCAAAACATGAGAAGCTTCTCCAATTAAAATATTCGTCTACATAATCATTTTGTTTTACCAAAATTTGACTTTTGATGCTTAATGGGTTAGAAAGAACGTCCACTAAAAGGGTATCAGAGGTATGAAGAATTCATACTGATAAAAAATATAAAAAAAATAAAAATAAAATTAGTGTGGCTCAAATTCAATTTTTATTTGTTTTTCTTGATAATTTTATGTAATAATTTTTAGTCTTTAACATTACTGAAATAATATTTTTGGTAAAAGTAAATTGGAGATTGTACGAAGTCGAAGTTAAGGTTTGATCCAAATCCACTTCAACTATAAAAGGAGTATATTCACCAAATTAATGAAGGATAAATCACTAGGAATGATTTTAGTTGTAGTCACTAATTCTAAAACATCTTAAAAATTTAAAATTGCCTAAGAATAAATTAGTGAATAAAACAGTTGTCTCTTAGTAAACATTTTCTAAAGAATTATAGAAGGTATTTTTGTCAATGCATCAACACTCTATGGATCAACTATTTAACTTCATTATTTATATCAGAAATAGTCTTATAATCACACAATTAAAAATTTTGCCATTATAACAATGTATAATTAATTAAGTTTTGACTTGTTTCATCAAGCATTATAGTCAACTATGCATTATATCAAGTGTGGTACTCAAATAAGTGTGATTTTTATTTTATTTTATTTAACTGAGCTCATAACACCAATTAAATAAATGTATAAAATTGGATTTTTTTTTTATATTAACAAATGCTTAAAAACATTAATTAGCATCCTCAACAACATAGAAAATATATAATCATTTTACGCATATTAACAAATGGATAGAAATATCTATTGACAAGAGATGATAAGAGAAAGAGGAGAGGGAAAAAAATTAACTATTTTGAATTTCATTTATTTCACACAAATGTCTTTTTATAAAATATAAATATATATATAATTCAATTCAAATATATATATATATATATATAATTATTTAAAACATATTAACAAAAAACCAAATTATATGTTGACAATGTTTGGCCCAACTTATGGAGTTCCAAATAATTTTTTTTATTTTTTATTTTTTTAATTTTTAAAATCGTTGGTGAGACAAAAGTTGATGGATGAAAACATTTCAAAGCATATGGTGGTGTGCAAGATAGGTGGTTATATTATTAAAACAATGTTATATAAAAGAAAATAATAATTTATTGTGAAATCAAACGAGAAGGGGTGACAAAAATTTTGATTCCAAAAAAGATAGTGATTCATCATTAAATGTCCAATTTAGTCACTATAAATACAATAAGTTGGCAATTTAATTAATGTCTCTAAAAAATAATTTTATTCT